AGCTGAAAATTTTACCATAGCATCCTCACTCCAGCCCCAACATATGCCCCAAAATTCAGCCCATTTGAACTTGCCTGGACTGAGATCGATTTTTGAGGGGGGGGCCCCCTTAAATTTGCGCTACTATTATTTCTTATTATTAATTGTTTTCCCCAAGTCGATGCGAAATCTGCTTATTTTCGATTACGATTGGTATGTTTCCTTTTTTTGCTACACTTACAATAGCTTGTGTTGTATCTTGATCATCTTTCATACCAATAAACCGAAGATTGTATGGGCCTCGTTCACATTTATTAGAATTTTCTTCAAGTTTATCCAATCTCTGTTTTTAATACTTTTCAATCGTTTTTCATATTTATCAATTAATATAAATGTACAACAGATATTCATATCAAGTTAACAATTACATTCAATTCATGTGTTAAAACGCCAGAGACTAGAATATTCATCTACATTGAGTAGTGCAGTATCATGTGTGAGCATTGATGAGCGCATACAGAGAATTTAGCATCACTGTATGTAGTTATCTAAGCCTTTTTCAGTACTTTGTTGATTAATTCTCTATCACATGCTCCTGATTTTCTCTAATATTTCTGTATTTCCAATACATTTTCAAATTGAAAAAACATCTTTAAGAAAATATATATATAAAAGAAAGAATAATATTGTTGAATTCCACCTTCTGATAAAAATTTCAAGCGTTCATGAAGTAAAAACAGAAGAAAAAATAAAAAACACTTTCATAAAAACTCAACGCCCGATAATACGTCTAGGTTGAAGAGAATCTTACAGTTTTATTATCGATATTCGTCCCCGCAATCACCAATTGCCTGATACAAGTCCCGCGATTTTCGAGATACCACATCGATTTTCTTAGTATCGTCATCATCAAGATTAAATTCAAATACCCTAGCATTGTCGTGCAAGTGTTCACTTACCCCTAATCTAGCACCGATAATTACACCTCCTACTGATGGCTTATCCAAAATGTAACGTACTGCCACGTTAGAAATGCTGACACCGTGCTTTATTGCAATTTGATTGAGAACAGTAAGTAATTCTTGGAATAATTGCCACCCTCCCCAATTGTTAATCATATTCTTGTACTTTTTCAAACTAACGGTAGTCAACTCTCCGCTTCGCGGTTCGGGTTTACCAAGAAATTTTTCTGATAGCAAGCCACCACAGACTGTACCATAAGTTAGTAGTTTGATGTTATGCTGTTGACAAAACTGTATCATATGCACTTCAGGACGACGGTCTATTATCGAAAATTGTACTTGATTGGAAACGATTTTGATATCAGCTTCATAGATTATTTTTAAACGTTCAGTATCAAAATTCGTCAAACCCAAATGCTTGATTTTACCCTCTTCCTGCAACTCCGACAGATACCGGAGAGCATCGAGATAATTGCTATTACGATAGTCCCACCAATGGAATTGAAGCAAATCTATGGATTCCATACCCATCCGCCTCAGAGACTTGTTGATGTTTTCTTCAACTAACTGTTTCGTCATTTTTGTTGGCTGAGGCACCCATTTGGTGAAGACTTGTAGACTAGATAAAGCTTCGTTACCACGCGTAGCGACTAGCTGCCGTCTGAAATCGCCCATTAGATCTTCAGCTGGTCCATAATGGTCTGCTAAATCCCACGTAGTAAAGCCAGCATCTACATAATCAAACATATTTTTTATGGCAGCTGTTGGATCGATATGCCCGTGACCGCCAGACACTTGCCACATCCCATTTAAAGTGCGACAAATATTCATGTTGGGAGCAAGCTGAATTCGACTTAATGCTGATAGCGCCATTGATGCAATTCGGTTGTTGATGCAATAATAGGTTTCACTTCGCTAAAAAAAGGTGATCTAAAACACTGAAAAAACCCGAAATATTATTTCCGAAACTAACTTTTGTTACGCTGAACAGAAAACAAAGATATATCAAATTCGATGATAGAGCTGTAAACGTTCACGTCTCGTTCTTCAAATATGAAACTAAAGACGTTTGCGTTTCTTGAACGTGAACTTTATTTTATATAAACGGTGTACGTATTGTCGGAAATAAACTTAAAATTCTCACGGAGGTATAACGGTATTAACCCATATAAAAGCATTTTCTCTCTATTTTTCGACACGTGTCCTTCTAAGTGTATATTAAAAACGAATACGAAGGTCTTTGAAGTATGCGTAGTGGTACTACTATTGGCGCCAAAATACAGTATAGCTTGCCATTTTTCTAATAACTCAATAACAGCCTAAGACAGAACGTTGCGGTTTTCAGCAATTAAAAACAGACACCTGAGACTAGTTTTCCGCAAGCAAAAACGATTTTTGGAAAAAAAAATTTGTTTAATGCCAATTTTTCAGAGGACCTTTGGAAAACCAGTTTAGATCTCTGAAAACTGACATAGAAACAGATCGATTGTTTTTTGATAGATATATAGTCTGAAGTGTCTTCTACAAAACTGGATCTAAGCGACATCTTAGAAATCCATAATTCAGAAGCTGTGGATGTTTTTCCTGAAGCCTTCGCACTCCTCTGCTGTTCGGTTTGGGGCTGTCACAAATGAATGGAAACATAGGTGATCGACTGTGCCGAATCTTGTGGTAATGTTAGTTTCTGAACAAAACGCAGGAACCCAGTAAAAATCTATACTATGTGAAATAACCCATTTTTGATTATTTTCATCAAAAACTAAAAAATTTATAATTCGGTCAAAATCCATCCAACCTACTTGAGAATGTCTGGAAATAGTCTCTTGTATCTGCAGCATAACGTAAAGCTGAACAAATGTTGAGAAAAGCAACAGAAAACATTTTGGTTTTTAGAAAGGTTTCGCAGAAACCTTCGGAACTATGGAAATATTTTTTATCGATTTTAAGCATAGAATTAGAATGACGGGATACAATAGAGTATTTCCAGACATTGTGAAACAGGCTGGATGGATTTTGACTGAATTAACCATATTTTAATTTTTAATGTAAATAACCAAAAATGGGTTATTTCACCTATTGCAGGTTGATATAAGCTTTATTCTGTCAGAATACAAGCGGAAAATATTCCATTATAATATTCTAAACTAAAACTATCGAATAACACAAAATCAATTTTGTACGAATAGAGATTCGAACATGTATTGCAGGTTTTCAGTCGGTTCTTGCATTTTCTTCAGAAACTAACATTGCCACGAGATTCAGCATAGTCGATAACCTATGTTTCCATTCACTTGTGACAGCCCCAAACCGAACAACAGAGGAGTGCGAAGGCTTCAGAAAAAACATCCACAGCTTCTGTTTCCCATAGTTCTGAAAGTTTCTGCGAAGCTTTTCTAAAAACCAAAATGTTTTCTGTTGCTTTTCTCAACATTTGTTCAGCTTTACGTTATGGTGCAGATACAAGAGACTATTTCCAGACATACTCAAGTAGGTTGGATGGATTTTGACCGAATTATAAATTTTTTAACTTTTGATGAAAATAATCAAAAATGGCTTATTTCACATAGTATAGATTTTTACTGGGTTCTTGCGTTTTGTTCAGAAACTAACATTGCCACAAGATTCGGCACAGTCGATCACCTATGTTTCCATTCATTTGTGACAGCCCCAAATCGAACAGCAGAGGAGTGCGAAGGCTTCAGGAAAAACATCCACAGCTTCTGAACCATGAATTTCTAAGATGTCGCTTACGAGGGAACACCCCCAGGTGCCCCGCTCCGATTTCGTTCGTTCATACATCATTCGATAGGGGACCTCGAGTAGGTAAAAAGCCTAAAAGGATTTCGGCCGACGGCTTTTCCTTCGAAACTTACG